CATAAATTAGCATGCTCTGTTATGATCATGATAGTACACACGATCAGTAACTCAGATTAATATTTTCTTCAGACCCAATACTTAGAAAAGTGGGTATATGAAATGAGTATGGTTAACATGAAATGTGTATGGTTAACATGAAATGAGTATGGTTAACATGAAATGTGTATGGAATGTTTAGGATGAGAGTACAGTGAAGTATGTTATAGTCTCCCAAATATTGTCATGTGTATGTGCTTTGAAAAACTGAATAAAAATATAAATTAAAAAAAAAAAAAATTCGTTAAATTAAAAAAAAAAACCACAAAAAACCCCACCATAAAATAAGTTATAAAACTTGTATCATAAATCTAATATGGGGGGAACCTTATGACAGATCCTCTATATATTACACTGGATATGTACGATATGGTATACTTGTGATACGTACCTATCATTGTAATCTATTATCTGACATAAGAATTGGTGTGGTTACCATCAATAACCACTGTATATCTCTACCTACCTTGTCCTCTGCCTGGTATGCCATTATAAGAGGGCTATAAGGGTTACGTCCATCCCCGCTCTTCCTAAAAGGAATTTGAGTAGGTCGATACACAAATTATGTATTCTATATGGATATAATACATCGCAAAAAGTGGGAAACAAATAAACTCGGATATTATTTGTATGCATTCTCGCCAAAATTGTAGAACAGAAGGAGGAATTCAGCACCCTACCTAATACAAGAAGTCTTAAGTCAACCTACCCATCATAGAGGAAATGGAAGAATATGATACGAACTGGGGTTATATCAGAGGGGAGGTGATCAAGAATACCTAGCGAAAATCAATCGACATCCTTATCACTTGAATATGTTTAAATCTGGAACCGCTTCACCTGATCGGATACGCTTAACATCAGCATATGTAGGTGTCTATGTTTAAATTATTCCTTGATCGGTAATTTAGTGTATTAAACCCTGTTCCTGCCCCACTTATTTTATTCATATTTGTAACAAAGACCCAGTGGAGTGCTACACAATGTGGAAGCCGTGTCGATTGTGTAATGTGACCAATGCTGTCTTGGTGATTAGCACAACAAATAAACATTCCTTTTATAGCGAATAAGGTCATGTCTGTATGGTTATTATTCAGAGTGTTTACGGCAGACCAGACACACCGTATTACATTTACCTGAAATACTTGTTTAAAAAGGAAGTATCGGTTGAAGCCAAACGTGGAAATGTTCATGTTATAAAGCTTTTTACAGGCGTATTTCACCGTTTGCCGCATTTCTACATATAGTTTGGTCAGTTCAGACATGGATATTCGATATTTTGATCTTAAGTTCAACTGATGATGAAAATAAAAGGACAACAAGGCTATTTAGTGCAGTAAAAAGTTAGGCTTTCTGCATCAAAAATCTAAATCTTTTAAATAAGTGTTTCCTAACTTCGTGTTTCTGTTATTTCAGATTATTTTACCTGAAATACCTATTTAAGATTATATTATCGGATGTAGCAAAAAATGCACAATTTTGACGTCATTAAGGAGTGCATTGGCACATTTACTCATTTATTAAATTTACACAAATGTTAAGGGCACTTTAGACATTGGTATTCAAGCATTCTATCTTGGATTCACCTGATGAGTCCTAAATTGACGAAATGGTCATATAGTGTAGCAAAATATTCACACGTGGATTTCCGCACAGATTCTTTTTTTTTAACATATGCCTCCTGACTTCCTGTTTTAAGTGATTACACACATATATATAATGATCTTTTCACTTCCATAAACATATTTGAAAATGAATCCTTTACATTTAGAAATGTGTAATTTGTATTTTTTAATTTCACCTTTTCTAACAATTTATTATTCATGTCACAGGAAAAGTGCGACGCCATCTGAAATGATAAATGATGTAGATATAGCGAGAGAAGATTTTGTATAAAGTTATTTATACCATCCATTGCGTACTGCTTAGGTTATTACAAGAATAAAATGCTGTTTAAACTACATATTCCATCTTCTCCTGTGAGCAGGTATTGATTTTTACGTCATTGGTTTGTGTGAGAAAGTTATATCGTTTTCTCAAAAATTGATGACGTTACATTCACAAACCTATGACGTAACAATCAATACCTGCTCACAAGAGAAGATAACTCTGCAATACGCAAAGATAGAATATGGCTATCCTGTCTTGTCATCAAAGATCACACTTACTTTATTGTATGGGTCTAATTCTCAATCATATGAAGGCAAGGCTTTGTCCTTTAAAAATCAAAGCTGTAGTCATGCTGGGTTAAACAGTTTCCAACATGTAGTTACAGTTTATGGCAGTGGCTCGGGGATCCTTAAGCGAATCAATACAGTACCAGATATTGATATGAATTTATCGAGGAAGTGTTTATTAACAGTCATCTGAGGTTGAGTTTATTATTTGGTATGTGAAGAATTAAAGGACAAAACCAAAGCGTCTACTTACAAGGAAAAAATCGCTATCCAAAAGGAACGCAAACATATAACAGCAGGATCTGATAACACTTCAAACCAAAAGTTAAGACAACCACAAAACGCTGGTGGCAAACTTACCAGATGTGCGTCACGATGATGATGTCATGTTGATGACCGTTTAATTTCTACAATTAGAATGACGCGTCATAAATGGAAAAAAATATCTTTGCACGTGATAACTACGACTTGTTACATTTTACGGAAATTAATTCGATTTTTGCTAATAGAGCACTGAGTTACTCGATCACAATTGAAAGCAGGGTATGTCCCTGAAGGGCTTCCATCCATTGGCAATCAGCGATGCGGTACGTTTTTTTTTAAAACAAAACACATCGTATACAAAACAGTGTATTAATAAAATATGTCCATTTGCCCGATGATCATCTAGTTGTCAATTCCTGTCTGCGACACACACAACGAACTTACAGAAACAAGTTAGGAACTTTTAGTACCAGTGGGAACAACGATGCAGCAGCAACAACCCCCACCACCCCCGGGATACTCCGTGCAACAAGGTAGAGAGTTGAATGTTTATGGCAGAACTGTTATTCTATGTTTTTTACTTGCCACAACTCCTTATTTCAGATATGGATGATAGAGTCATGGTATAAGTAGATTTCTGATTTCAGAAAATTTTACGTGAAAATGGTCAATGGATATTATCATTGTTTATGTGTTTGGCAGTATTAATAAAGGTGTTGTCCTGGACACCGAGTTTACTTAAAGAAATCTCCAGTAAGATATTTTACTGGGATTTACTTAGTCATCATTACAAGTCACTAGTATTTTTCTATAATGTCACTTCAAAAATATAAGAAGATCATTAAAATTTTGTTCACAAAAAACATAGTTAATCAGTATTGTATGAAATCCTTCTATAGAAATGGCGTTCGTGTTACTGGCATTGTTCTGAGAAGAGTATAGACGTTATTGCACCGATTTAAGCTTAGTAAGCACGGCATAAAAAATGCTGAAAGAGAACTTTCGTCGTCGCCATTTTGTTGAACTTCAGTGATGGAGGAACAACAGCGATTTAGATAGACAAGATATATATAGGTCATTATTTTTATCTTCTGACGAAAATGACATTAAAAAAGCCTGATCAGAGCTACCTAAGGTCCTTCTGTGAGTGTATCCTAAGGAAGCTGTAATTATAATCTGAATTACCTTAGTGTTGATTGTGACATGTTAAAGATGATGACGTCATAGATGTAATAAAATATATTTTTATATACAGGATCGAGAGTGATGTAGTGAATTTCATGCAGGGTTTTGACGAATTTATCCAAACAGCAACATTATCATTTTCACACAGTTCTAATATAAACCTAACTGGGATTGAAGGTTTGGGTCGTGCTTCATGGAACACGTGTATTGTTCTGAATAGGATTCACTTGCAAGGCAATTTAACTATAGCATTCAATGTCTAATTTCATGCATTTTATATACTTAAGATTAAATTGTATATTAAAAACTCACGGAGGCACGTCCTTAAATGAACTTAACTGTAAGTAGGGCTCTGAACCAACCAAATAAATTAAACTTCGTATATAGTGATACATGTGTAACGTTGAGTGTAATAATATTACATGAAGGGTAAATAAATGCGGTTTTAAGTTGCAACTACCGGTATATAGTAAAATAGGACATATATGTAAATTAAAGCCTTAACACATATTTACACAACCGGGGCCCACTTGTATAAAACATCTCAAAGTGAAGGAAGATCTCAAGCAATGTATTGTTGTCTATGGGAAATCTTAGACTTGAGGAAATCTTAACAGTCGACATGTTTTATACAAGTGGGTCCAGAACTCATTAGAGGCAAACTATAATGGGTTTAATAGATTTTATTCAATATCCAACATTTCTACGCAAACAACCATGCTATATTATGTTTATGTTTAAGACTGCAAATTATTTTTATCAAATCATATTAAATCATTAATAGGTATGTGTATACTATCAAAACAAGACATTATAATATGTTAAAAATGTGACATGACTCATAGCTCACACAAAGTAGGACACCTAAGTCCTGGCTATATTTGTGATACTATATCCATAGTCTGTATAAAAAGAGCAATGCTATACGTGTGATTTTCCATTCAGTGACTTAGATAATACAGCTTTGACAGTCTAGTCGCTAGGCCAGGTCAATTTAACTGGGCGAGTTAATACCTCAACAACATATTTGTTTACATGTGAAGCCTGTAATGTTTATTTTCTGTTTAAACAGAAACAGAGATACCTACCCCGGGTCTAGCTATGTGTTGTAGATTTTCGTGCATGAATAAAGTTAGTGTATATATAATAATAAACCAACAAATTACACCGTAGCAGATTTTCCCCTACAAGCATACAACCACCCTTAGCAACGCTCTGGCTACATTGATATGTACAGGGAAACCTGCTCGGCAGATCACCATCAGGGTTTAGAGACCCATTTTGCAGATGTTTTTTTTGTTAACTTAACTTATTTTAAGAAACTTTTTGCAGTAAGTGACCGCCTTATGTTCTTCCCTGTCCCCGAGGTAGATGTTTTTGGAAGATCCCAGTCATCTTCAGAAACTTCACGAAACATAATTTAATGATAAATGTACAAACTGCTGTTTAATACATAGGGATTAACTACTTTCTTTTTAAAAAAAACTATCTTGAAAATAACGTATTCATATAGAAATGTATCAGCTTAAACCTCAATATACACTGAAAACAATAATTTAAGAAACAAATAATAAAAAGGATAAGCGCGGACACTGTACATAGAGTTTTACGCTACGTCACTCCGTACAAACGATGCCTTTATACTAAATAATTCAGTAATTTTCTTTAGGGAAATCCTAATGTATTATTTTTGTTCTTGAAGAACGTTACAACTACAGGAAATATTAAAGAATAGATGTCTGCTGATTTCAGATATGAAGTATTATTCCCCATTCCATTAATGACTCTCCATGCAAGGAAATCTTTAAAAAAAACAACATTTGTCTTCACTTCTGTCACCATGTATAATGGTTCCTCTGTCCTCACTAGTCTAGTATCACTAACATCTAACGCGTCCTCTGTCTTCAGTACATCCAGACTATACTTCACTCTGATTTATTTTGATTGTTCATCATTAACATCTTAACAGGAACATTATCTCATGTAAATCTCTGGCTATGAGGGGTTAGTGTCAGGACCAGTTTCCAGGAACTACCCGTTACTTATGATGGTAACATCATATCAGCTTTTGAGCATGATGATCAGCACTTTCTATCCAGTGTCTATTCCGTCTTTGCGTATTGCAGAGTTATCCTCTCTTATGAGCAATTATTGATTGATACGTCGTTTTCTCAAAAATTGATGACGTTACTCTCACAAACAAATGACGTATCAATCAATAATTGCTCATAAGAGAGGATAACTCTGCAATACGCAAAGACGGACGTTCATACTCGAGTCAATTTAAAGTGGATGTACCGATTTCTGAGGTACAATATTATGTAAATGGTGCTACACCTATTGGTTGTTCAGTTTACCAAAAACTACTGAATGCGTATTAACTGTTTATAATACACAATCAGTTCTGTGTTATGGAGTGTTATTATAAAGAAACGTATCTATGTTACAGGTCAGCAGACCGTGATCGTCACAACTCCGGGGTTTGCCGCAAACACGCAAAACCGGGGGGTGTACCGGGAGAATCCCGTCAGCATGATCTGTCCATTCTGTCAGGCACAGATAGTGACCTCTACCACCTACGTAACCGGCACATTAGCCTGGCTCATTTGTGGCATTCTACTCCTCCTTGGGTAAGTCCACATTATTGCATCAACAGGGCTATATCTACAACGACATAAACCACAACGAGAAAATATACAACATTGTCAACAAACAAGAACAAAATATATGCCAAAGCGTTCACTAAAAAAAACACCAAATTAACCACAGTGTCAATACACCAGGACAAAACGTAAAATAGAGTCAACACACAAGGACAAAATACATCATAGAATCGATGGTAAGGGTAACAGTCGACAAAAAAAAGCATACCAACGGGAACAGAAGAGAACCAAAATAAAAAACAAACTATAGGAAATCTCTGAGAGGAGACAATGATTTTGGTCATGATAATTGTTAACTTCATTTCTTTTCTTCATTTTGTAATGAGATCTTGATGAAAGCCATACAAGAAGTAGATTGGAATCATTTGTGGTCTGGTAAAAGCATTAGCTCTGATATTGATAGTTCGCCAATGTTTCCTTTTAACGTTTGCATATTTTCTCAACTGTACTGAATAATTAAGTCCAACTACTGGAAGCTTCGTGTCGTTAATTGATGCGCTAGGTATGATCCTCCAGGACCAACTATGATGCCATGTATGTATTTTGTATGTCATTCCACTAGTATCTCCATAGGAATTTGTAATTAAGATAATAGATTTAAAGTCTGGAAAAACTCGACATTATTTCTTGTATTTCTTATTCTTCTCGTTTCGGTTGACCTGATTTATGTTGTATGAGGTCCTTGACTACTGATTAAAGCATGCTTGCTTTGTTTTAGATTTTGGCTCGGCTGTTGCCTCATTCCGTTCTGTATCGATGGATGCAAGGATGTCGTACACAACTGTCCTAACTGCCGTCAACAGGTCGGCAAGTTTAACCGAATGTAGGAAATCTACATCGCCAGATCCTGGATAACTGCTTCATTTAACTACCATCGGTTTGTAATCGACGTAGATCACGTTTTAAAGGTTCTGTACATCTACTATTAAACGCGTTCTCAATTGTAGACAGCCACGTTATGTATCTTCATCTAGAAATTGAATTTGATTTTATTTTTATTAAATGAAAGTGTCCATCAAGACGTTCTTAGATGCCATTTCTTGTTGTTGTGATAGAGAAAGCCGTAGTATTGCAGTGAAGGCTTACACGTTCAACATACCCATCCCACAATTATCAGGCCACCGGCTAGGACTAACAGACTGTCTAAAGATATTCTCCAACTATCAACACTATTCTGAAAATGATGTGATAATTGACGGTTCATTACTATTATCCAACTATCAACACTATTCTGAAAGTGATCCAAGAAGACATAATTCATCAAGGAAGATTTGTGTGCTGTCGATATCATCCTGTTGTGTCTTAGTCATCTACTTTTTTAGCCTTTAGAATTCAACAGGGATACTATATGCTGATGAGTTTTGGGTTTTGTTTTCTTCCTTTCTCAAGAGCCTAAATGATATTTTCTCATTGTGATATTTCTTTTTATACTTGTGATATTCCAACTATTTGCGCATCTGAGTGATGGCGACTTCGTTTTTACAACAATATGGATAACTTGGAAAGAAGAGGAAGTATATGTTATGCGAGGGAGGAATTTACATCAGCAATGTTGAGAACATCAGTGGAGCCTGTTGATGTCGATTTTTATACATTCAACGTTCATCTGTGATATATAATTGGTACGCTCTATCCTATGTACATTGTAATTTATACAAAGTTCATTTATAATTTACTAGGTCAATAATAACAGGACCCCTTAATTTCATTAGACTGCGATAACAGTGCACTTTCTTACCCGGGATTGTTTTGCATTTTAGTTTGTCTGAGCTAACATTTGAACTGCACAATAGTCTGGCGTGCATTTACGGAATGATCCCATAAGTTATGCAATATCTGATGGACTAATTTACGAATGCTCCTGATCCTTGTTTAGATAGCGTTGGGAGGTCGATATAACTTTGGCATAAGAACAATGTAAATATGACTGTCTAACAAGCAAAACTTGTATTCATCGAACCGTATGACGTAATCTTTCGGCTCAATCATAGTACCAGGGTTGACTAGAATTTTACTGATAATACCAGGGTTGACTAGAAATGTATTGATAGTACCAGGGTTGACTAGAATTTTACTGATGGTACAAGGTTTGACTAGAATTTTACTGATGGTACCAGTGTTAACCAGAAGTAACTGATAGTACGAGGGTTATCTTAAATATAAATTATATATATATATATACATATGTAAAGTTTAACTTTTGTAATGAACTCTATAGAAATATGTGATGTTATATTTTCCTTGGTATTGTTTTCATTAAAATAAGACACATTTTGTATAACAATTGTCTTTTATAACTGACAGATCATCGTATTGTGTTCCAGATAGTTACAGAGAGCTACTTAAATGAATCATGATAATTACTGTATTGGATTGATATAGATTCTGTAACGGATCCAGACAGCTAATGTGCTTGATTCACATAGTTGCTTATTTAAACCAGATAGCTAATGTATTTGATCCAGATATCTACTTTAAGACAGTTACTGTATTAAATCCAGATAACTTACGTGTTTGATCCGGAAAGTTACTGTATTGATCCAGATAACTTACGTGTTTGATCCGGAAAGTTACTGTATTGATCCAGATAACTTCTGTGTTTGATCATGAAAGTTACTGTATTGATCCAGATAACTTCTGTGTTTGATCCGGAAAGTTACTGTATTGATCCAGATAACTTCTGTGTTTGATCATGAAAGTTACTGTATTGATCCAGATAACTTCTGTGATGTGTAAAATTATACCGTAGTGATTTCCAAAAAACCGTAAAGGCACTTTCAAAACTGCAATTTCAACAACTTATTTTCAAATGTGATCCATGACGACAATTCAGGTTAAGAGAAATGAAATTTAGAACATAGTAAAAACAGCTTGATTCACACCGTGCAGTTGTTAAAGGGGCTGTTCGGGGGGGNTATATATGTTTAAAATACTTCATTATGAAAGATAGCGATTCAAATTTTGGTGAAATTCACTCCCTGGAAGTAAAAATTAAAATTATATTAAAAAGGGCCAGCTTATTTAGGACCAAAGTGTTTTTTACATAGCACCATGTCCTGTATAGATAAGGACCAAAGCAACTGCCATATAGCACCAAGTCATTATATATATGGGTAATGGCCTAAATCCTCAAATCATAACGTTATATATTTATTGAAGCTGTGAAACTTTGTTACATTAACCTTGTCCTTATAGGCTATTTTTGAATCAAAGGAGTACATGAACCATTACAGTGTTTTTAAAAGTTGTTTATTTTTCTAACATGTCTAGTTAACCCAACATACTGACACATTTATCTTGGTTTTTTTTGAAGATAAAAAATGCACGAGTCATCTACTGAACTGTACCGTAGCTGTGACAGTTTACACGTACATGTCAACTGTACTGTACCGTAGCTGTGGCAGTATACACATACATGTCAACTGTACTGTACCGTAGCTGTGACAGTTTACACGTACATGTCAACTGTACTGTACCGTAGCTGTGGCAGTATACACATACATGTCAACTGTACTGTACCGTAACTATGGCAGGATACACATACATGTCAACTGTACTGTACCGTAACTATGACAGTATACACATACATGTCAACTGTACTGTACCGTAGCTATGGCAGTACACACATACATGTCAACTGTACTGTACCGTAGCTGTGACAGTATACACATACATGTCAACTGTACTGTACCGTAACTATTGCAGTATACACATACACATCAACTGTACTGTATTGTAGCTAAGGCAGTATACACATACATGTCAACTGTACTGTACCGTAGCTATGGCAGTATACACATACATGTCAACTGTACTGTACCGTAACTATGACAGTATACACATACATGTCAACTGTACTGTACCGTAACTATGGCAGTATACACATACATGTCAACTGTACTGTAGCTGTTGCAGCGTGGTTGTACTCGTTATGTATACATACTGATTTGCTTCTCCTAGGACAGGTCGTCAGTGAGGTATACCGCTGTGTATTGTTTCTGTTCATTGTTAAAGCCTCGTTATCGATTTGTACTACAATAAACTCTGTGATACATATCACTCTGCTATTAAGTTAACACACACGAGAATATACACGAAATATTTAAAGAGATCTATATTTTGTCAAACAAAAGGAGTGGTATGTTTTTTAACGTCGTGGCTTTTATCGATTTGGTCTATTGATGTGAACAGGCATCGTCATACACCTATTCAGACTTAATTTGTACATAGCAACCCCGGGTAGTGATGACAAACACTGTGGGTATGGAAGAGCACACGGGAAATAAACGAGATAACTGTTTAAATAAACTTGACAGCTTGGTCAGTATTTATTGCTGAATGCAAATCATAAAACACTTTATTAATATATACTATCACAGGACTGTAAATTACTTTGTTCTTAAATATAACGCTAGTAGCATTATTTCTAACTGACCTTTCCGCTGCGCCAGTATATATACATAGATTGGATTGATTGCGGTACTTTTTAATTTTATTTTTGTGACGGTTTTACAATGGAAAACAATCGTTAAACGTAATCTATAGGCAATAAGGCACACGATAACCCAAGACATAAGTACATAATTGTATACTTTGCTGTCGTCCTTGTATGTACACAAACCTGTATGAAGGTTCACCTGTATGTAGGTACTCCTGTATGTAGGTACTCTTGTATGTAGGTTCACCTGTATGTAAGTTCACCTGTATGTAGGTACTCCTGTATGTAGGTTCACCTGTATGTAGGTACCCCTGTATACAACTTCACCAGTATGTAGGTACTCCTGTATGTAGGTACTCCTGTATGTAAGTTCACCTGTATGTAGGTACTCCTGTATGTAGGTACTCGTATGTAGGTTCACCTGTATGTATGTTCACCTGTATGTATGTTCACCTGTATGTAGGTACTCCTGTATGTAGGTTCACCTGTATGTAGGTACTCCTGTATGAAGGTTCACCTGTATGTAATTACTCCTGTATGTATGTTCACCTGTATGTATGTTCACCTGTATGTAGGGTCACCTGTATGTATGTTCACCTGTATGTAGGTACTCCTGTATGTAGGTTCACCTGAATGTAGGTACTCCTGTATGTAGGTACTCCTGTATATAGGTTCACCTGTATGTAGGTTCACCTGTATGTATGTTCACCTGTATGTATGTTCACCTGTATGTAGGGTCACCTGTATGTATGTTCACCTGTATGTAGGTACTCCTGTATGTAGGTTCACCTGAATGTAGGTACTCCTGTATGTAGGTACTCCTGTATATAGGTTCACCTGTATGTAGGTTCACCTGTATGTAGATTCACCTGTATGTAGGTACTCCTGTATGTAGGTTCACCTGAATGTAGGTACTCCTGTATGTAGGTACTCCTGTATGTAGGTTCACCTGTATGTAGGTACCCCTGTATGTAGGTTCACCTGTATGTTGGTACCCCTGTATATAGATTCACCTGTATGTAGGTACCCCTGTATGTAGGTACTCCTGTATGTAGGTTCACCTGTATGTAAGTACTCCTGTATGTAGGTACTCCTGTATGAAGGTTCACCTGTATCATACAGGTGAACCTACATACGGGAGTATCTACATACAGGTGAACCTTCAGACAGGAGTGTGAACCTACATACACGAGTACCTACCTACAGGAGTACCTACATACATGAGTACCTACATACAGGTGAATCTATATACTGTATGTAGGTACTCCTGTATGTAGGTACTCGTGTATGTAGGTTCACACTCCTGTATGAAGGTTCACCTGTATGTAGGTACTCCCGTATGTAGGTTCACCTGTATGTAGGTTCACCTGTATGTAGATTCACCTGTATGTAGGTACTCCTGTATGTAGGTTCTCCTGTATGTAGGTTCTCCTGTATGTAGGTTCACCTGTATTTAGGTACTCCTGTATGAAGGTTCACCTGTATGTAATTACTCCTGTATGTATGTTCACCTGTATGTAGGTTCACCTGTATGTAGGTACTCCTGTAT